TCTGTTTAGTTTTGACAGTAAAATTTTGTACACTAAATACAATTTCTACACTCATCCAGCTCTGTGTTTTTTTGTTTTTAGAAGTACGCTGAACTGCAGGTCACTGAGGCCAAGGTTCGAGATGGTATGGATCTGGTGGAACAGCCAAAGGATGAACTTTTCCCTTGTGCAAGAAAAAAGGTCAGTGTTCTTGGTATTAAACAAAATCACAAAAATGTGTGTATTCATTTGTATTAATTTAACCTATTTTACACAATATTAGAGATTGTACTGACCATACTCCGTGTATAATAATAGTCATCAGTCTATAATAATAGCACAACATTTCTAGATTCCATCAAAATAAAATATCCTAACCAAACTCGCTTCATACAGATTAAGCACTTTTTTCACTTTTGTCCATACAAAGATTTCCATTTATACATTTTATACTATTCATATTGTTAAAAATTACTGTTCAGCTTTGAATTTTCAGCATAATAAAACATTTATTGTTAAGAAACAACAGTGAACAATTTACCACCATATGGTATAAAATTGTACCAATACTTTTAATTAAGTATCTAATGGATTTATTATCATTTCATAAAGCACACAAACTGGGTTTATGAGGGCAATACACTTTTTATGACATGGATTGATCAACAGATTACGCTGATAAAATGTTTATATGAATTCTTTTAGTCCGCAGTACATTTACTCTGGATCCTTTCTAATTGTTTGTTTTGTTTTTGTATAGGTCAGAGATGAGCTGTAAGAGACCACCTATTTCATTATGTAACAGCAGCCATTACATTTAGATGGATTTTCAGAAAAAGAGGTTTCTGAGACCACAGACTTTGTGCATTAAGTGTCTTGTGACTGCAATGTCTTAACTAAATGTTTCTCTTTTTGTATTAAATCTTTGTATTTCTATACTCTTGTTGGTCTGGTTTATATGAATTATATATTATAAACATTATATCCAACTTAACACTTTTTGTAAACGGAGTGGAAAATAATTTGTTTACAAAACGATTTTGTTGCATTGTCTAATGAACTTCGTTTTTAACACGGTTTGAGAACTTTTTATTTATATGAATATCGCAGGTGAATGTGAGAATCCCGTTCGAGCAGAAAGAGCTGGAC